CATGGGTAAAAAAAAATGTTAAGTCCTATTATGGCAAATATATAAGGAGATACCAGGCCTTTTACAAAAACATATCTCCAAACACACATCTGCTATAATATTAACTCAACACTTTAAAAATACTCAAATAAATAACTTACCCATTATTCCTTGTAAAAACTCCAAAAATGTCTGGATATCCACTTCATCCTGTAACCGAGAATGTACAACTATTACAACCCATTCTCAAATAACAATGTTTTTGTAGTTTAACAACTTGTAACAACAATAATTCTTACTAAGAAAGCAAGCACCCCGGTATAATTCTGTGATGGGATCTTTATAATTTAAAAAGAATTATTCCACTTGAAATAAAGTATTTCAAGAATATCTTCAATGTGGAAAAGAAACGTTTGGTATTCCCTAATTTTGAACTGATAGACTAAAAGAAAGGTAGCTAGTTAACAGATCCATCCTCAACAATAAATGATTTTGTATTCATGGTTTTTACACATTGAAACTTTCCATACTGTTTTATAAAGTTAACAGAAAGATCAGATCTACTTACCTGAGAGCAGGTAGAAGAGAGGGTGTAAGTCCTTGTTTAAAGATCTTCCTTTACTGAAACAAAGGAAGGATTCATTAGACATTTGAACATTTAATGTGAACTTGTAAATATCATAAAGGTATATATAAACTGTCTTATGGATTTACAATAACACCTTCTGTCATAAAACAATTCTATTATACATGACAGAATAAACCACATTCGGGTGTCAAAAGAACCTCTAATGTATAACATAAAAAACAAACTTGGCTTTCTTACAGGTCAATTATAACTTCATGGTAAAAAACAAAACTACAAAGTTTTTCAATATTCAGAAGTAACCAATTTAATATCAGACATTAGAAAAAACTGAATTTGTATTTCTAACATTAAAAGTTGTGGAAATTTACTGAAAAAAATAGTTCAAGGTTGAGTTAGTTTTGTTACAAATATCTTAGCCTGTGACCAAATAATTACAATGTTATCTTATGTATGAGAAAGGGCTAATATTTCTTAGGTTGGCAAGTTCTGGCTCTACTAACAAACATACACAACATGAAGAGACAAACTGATTACCTACTTAGAAAGAAAATCCTTCATTAAAAGGCAGTCAACAACTGTTAAATCCAATCAGTCTTCTTAGAATGTTACGAAGTTTAAAAAGTTACACAAAACTTACTACAGTTTAACTATTTAGTTCAGCTACTTCACACTTCAATTATGACAATTTGTTGTAACACTTAAAAAAAAATCTATAAAACAAGTTTAATACTACTCGCACAAATACAGGCAGGTATAACTGTTAGTTCCGGTGTCTGACAGTTCTACAACAATGTACTCACACTTGGCATTCAATAATGTTCACCATCCATGAGAAAACAGGTTTTAGTTTACAAATGAGTTATCATCACAGAGTAGATTTTATTGAAGTATTTCTTTGTAGACACAGTTATCAATGAAAGTGCCTTACTTTTCTGTTACAACACTCATGAGATTTTCACCAAATCAAAACAAATATATTTTATATTTATGTTTTATATTTGAAACTTACTCCTTTTTCTAATTTTCATTGGTTAAATCTGAAACATATGTGGAAATTTCAATTGTTTTATTTATTGCTCAGCTATAAAAATACTGCCTAGCTATAAAAATATTACCCACTTACGATTGGTGATGATCGATCGGTGCCGTACTTTCCGAGATCCAGGTTTTGGACGTATACATCGCAGGCTCCATTATAATAAGATTCGTGCTTGAAAGTTTGAAGTCCAACTCTTGGGAAATACAATTTCTCATCAAGGTAAATAGCCGTCTGTTTTGGAGAAATCTGTGTCCAGCTTCAGTTTGAGAACATAAAATTAAAGAGAGTCACTAGCTTTCTTTGTTGGTTGGTCTAAGTGAAATTTGTCATGTCTTCCAACACGCTCCATAAATTTCTGGGCTTCTAAAAGATGACAAAAAAGTTTTATTACATAAACTTATAGCTCATAAGTACTTTCTTACATATATTTTGATACTGTCTTAACTTTAATACCAGAAAGCTAAGATTTTAATACATGGACGTCAACTCTCTCACAAACTGGAAGTACTGAGAACCTCGTTCAATGCATGCAAATAAAAAAAGGCACATTTGAAACAAATTATATGCTATTAAAAAACTTGTACATGGATACTAGTTTCAACATAAAGATAAAAAACAAGGTCCTTGGCAGTCGTGTGAAACTAAACACAAGAATCACTTAAAAATACTAATAATCAAATTGTTTCTAAATGTGATATTCAAAGTTTCTTTCTTCAAAAACCTGCCATACTTGACCACCTCCAACGGTCACTTTAAATGAAACATTTTCATTACAACAATCCTCAGATCAAGAGCCGAGTGATTTAATCAACTAATTAATATTAGGTTTTATAAATATTGCTATTGTTTGTCCAAACAAATACAACAACATAAACATCAATTAAAAGTTAATTTTTTTAAAACTAACGATTTGTCTAAACTTTAGAGATTTGTTTTCATCAAAGTCAGTTTGATAACACATCTGCATATCTTAAGCCGAGTGATTTAATCAACTAATTAATATTAGGTTTTATAAATATTGCTATTGTTTGTCTAAACAAATACAACAACATAAACATCAATTAAAAGTTAATTTTTTTTAAACTAACGATTTGTCTAAA